CATATATATATATATATGGCATTTGGATTGAGTTGAGTTATCTTACTTGTTAGTGGCATCATTCTCAGTGATCAATTACATTTTTTCTCAGCATTCTGAAAGGTTTAGAATGTTCTCACCCCTCCCTAAACATAGATACACCATGTTAACTCAGATTCACACTTTGGATAGTACGGCCTGAAACCACTGAGAAGCTTTTCAGTATGTCACTGTGCCATATGCTTTCTGAGAACGTGAATGCAAGTGATCCAAAATATGGACGTAAAAATATTAAAAGAGATTTTGTTTTCAAGCCCTGGATACTATGTGCCAAACATTATTCTACGTGTTTTACAAATATTAACTCATTTAATTATTGTATTGTTAATATTTACATTTTAGTGAAACATAGAGAGATAATTCGCTCAAGGTCACACAGCAAGTAAGTGGCAGAAGCAGGATTTGAGTGCAGGCTCTAGCGCCTGTGGAGTCAACCGCAGCTCAATGCTGCCTAAGCTGCTGCATTTCAGTAGGAATGAGTTATAAGTACAAGCCTCTTATTTTTGTTACATGAAATATAATCTATTTCAATTTAGGCCCCTGTCAAGAATGTATTCTTTCCTTCAAGATAAATTGAACACCTCTTTCCTTCAACAGGCCAAACCAGACCATGCAGGTGCATACAAGGAGACAGATATTCTTAATGTATTGAAATAAAACACACTGTAGAGCTTATTGGAGGAGCACACACCCATAATGATACCCACAGTTGAAAATATTGGTTCTTAAAATGAATGCTGAGCAGCTAATCAGTTGAGACTGAGTTTTTATGGCCTTTCAGTGTGGACAGGAGAGACACAAGAACAGTGCAGAACATGTCTTAGAGACTCAGCAGATCTCTGAACCAGAGGAGAAACCACTTAGCCATAGCCAGATTTATACAATTTCCTAAGTGGAAGTTTATGGCAGACGCTCCCTACCACATAAATATTGGTATAGTTCCCATTCCATCAGTGAGTTCTTATTCTCAACTAATCTTTCAAGCATCATAAAATTTCCAAGTTCAAAAACAACAACACACCTCTAGATATTGCTTTGGTTTTAGGTGTATTTTTAGCTTGAGTAGATCCTAACTGAATAATAGTGTCAATAATCTGTCATTCAACATTAGAATACTCAGGTAAATAATCATCTGCATAGAATGATTCGTGCTTCACATTATATGAATTCCTGGAAATCAGCAACCAATCCACTGGAATTGCACAGGGTACTGAGCACAGTGAATATGACAGGACGAATATGACAGGATGAACCATGGGGTTCATAGATATTAATTTTGATGGAAAATCAGAAGCCAGAACAGATATAAGTACCACCAAACCTGACCATTGGCTTTTGAAAAGAAGAACACTTCGTTCATAGCAGCACAATTCACCATAGCTAAGATTTGGAAACAGCCTAAGTGCCCATCAACAGATGAGTGGATTAAAAAACTGTGGCACATCTACACAATGGAATACTACGCTGTGATAAAAAAGAAGGAATTCTTACCATTTGCATCAGCATGGATGGAACTGGAGAGCATTATGCTAAGCAAAATAAGCCAGTCAGAAAAAGATAAATATCACATGATCTCACTCATTTGTGGAATATAATGAACAACATAATCTGATGAACAAAAATAGATCCAGAGACAGAAAATCATCGATCAGATCGTCAAACCTCAGAGGGAAGGTAGGGGAGGGTGGGGGTGAGGGGGAGAGATCAACCAAAGGACTTGTATGCATGCATTTAAGCCTAACCAATTGACAGAGACAACAGGGGAGTAAGGACATGAGTGTGGGGGGAGCAGTGGGGGGATAAGGACACATATGTAATACCTTAATCAATAAAGAAAAAAATTTAAAAAATTAATATCAACAATGCAGTAGGGCTTCTAAAATACAATGGAGGAAAGTGAAGAAAATAGGTACAATGAAACCCTGTCACTATAGGAATACTGCTGTAGGATTAGTTTTATGTGTTAACTTGACTTGGCCTTGGGATGACCAGATATTTGGTCAAGCATTATTCTGGGTGTGTCTGTGATTGTGTTTTTGGATGAGATTAACATTTGAATCAGTCATTGAGTAAAGCTGATTGCCTTCCAATGAAGGTTCTCATCTAATTGGTTGAATCCAATTCAAGAATAAGAAGGCTGACCCTCCCTTGAGTAAGAAGGAACTCTTCCTGCCTGACTCCCTTGAGCTGGGACTTCGGTCTTTCTCTGCCTTTGGACTCAAACTGAAATACTGGCTCTTCTTTATTTCAAACCTGTTGGCTTTCTGACTGGTACCATTGGGTCTCCTGGTTCTCAGGCCTTTGCATGTAGACTGAATGACACTGTCAACTTTCCTGGGTCTTCAGGCGTCCAGCTTGCTGACTGCAGATCTTGGGACTTCTCAGCCTCTATAATTAATCTATCTGTATCTATCTATCTATCTATCTATCTATCTATCTATCTATCTATCTTCTATCTATCTATCTATCTATCTATCTATATCTATCTATCTATCATCATCTATCTATCATATATCATCTATCTATCTATCTATCTATCTATCTATCTATCTATCTATCTATCTCTCACTCACCTATCTATCTATTATCTATCTATCTATCTATCTATCTATCTATCATCTATCTATCTATCTATCTATCTATCTATCTATCTATCTATCCTATTTACTCTGTTTCTCTGGAGAACCTCAACTAATATAGTTTTATTTTCCACAAAAATAAGGGCAAATGGCTTATTTCTTTCCTAATACACTGAAACATGTATGTCCATTTTTCTTCAGAGCTGAGGTCTTTTATCAAAGAAATAAAGAGGTTTATTTACAAGGACAAGTCTGTGGAAAAATGATAACGCTAAAGAAAAGTGAATTCCATCATTGCTTAAACTTGTAATAGCCACGTGAAGTCACTAAGTAATAAACAGCCTTTCATCACTTTATAGTGGGTCTTTCCATCTCCTTAGGAACTCTGAACTCACAGAAAATGAATAGGCAGAATAATCTGGCAGCTAGAAGGTCACTTTTTCATAAACCCTTTCCTCATCGTTCTTAAACTGCTTTTCCCATATTCAATGTATAATACAACCACAACTTAAAGAAAAAAATGTTTCCCTCAATCAATCTTAACATTAGGTCATCTGAAACTTGTCTATCATTTTATACCTACACAACTACTAGAATTTTAGAATTATTTATGATGCTGACCAGTCTTCCTTGGGAATACTTAATGGCAGCTTCCATATTACTGAATGCCTCAGTTAGTGCTTGTTGGCTGAACATACTATCCTGTATATTTAGCAGGGTATCATACTAAATTTGAAGTCTTATCAGGTCTGTTACAATGAGCAGTTTAAGTTGGACTTCCCTGCATGCTTTAGACATTGAGCAGGACTTCTCCATCCTTAGCATTGTTAACTATAGCTGTCTACTGCATACTATTGAATAAAATGAATGGATATGTCTTCAGACCTGTATCAATCATTTCCATATAACTACGACAACCTTTCTTTTATCTTTATTAGATAATATTAAACATAATATGTGTACAATATCTTATAATTCACACTTTCTGTAGAGTTGTCTTACTTATTTTGATTTCCAAAAAAAGATCCTATATAAAACAATCATCAGTTTCTTGATCCTTACTAATAGGTTTTGAAAGGGGTGGTAAAAACATCATTCTTCAAGAAAATTAAAGCTGGATGCATAATATGAAAAAAATCAAATATGATAAACATGTATGATCTAGTCAAACACATGCATATTAACTCATATTTATTTTTTTAAAAAAAGCAGTATTAACAATTCTGTGGGCTGATATTTGGTCAGAAGGCAATCCCACAACAATACCTCAGCTTCTACCTAAAAAAGAAATATTGTTTTTAAATGTCCCTGTCCTTGATCATATGGGTGAATATTTCACAAATTTGATATTTGAACATTTTTGATAATATATATATAATCAAACCTTTTAAATAAATAAACACAATTACAGCTGTTAACAGAGGTTTAAATGAATACCTTGTTAATAAATGCTATCATTATTATTTTTTAGTGAATCTTGATTTAGTCTTTAGCCACAACATATATCTGAAACTTGAGACTGACTTTTCTTGTGGCTTATGAAATTAGTGGCATTTCTTTCTAGTCCACTATTCAAATCCTTGGCTCATTTGATTGTCTGTTTTAGGAGAATTCGTTTCCATAACTCAAAATTAAAATATTCTAAATGGGCTATTCATTACATTTAAAAATCAATTATAGCTAAAGATGGCATTTTGTAAACAAAAGGAACTTTTCTAAACAAAAGAAAGGATGCTCAGTCCCTCCTTAAAAAGAGCTGAGGATTTCCGCAGCTTCCCAGTTCCCCCACTACAGCTCTTCTAGGAGAGCCAGTCTGTGGACCAGAGGGAAGGACTTCTCCAGACATGCACAGCATCACCAAATGCAAAGCCAAGCCGCGCTCTTTGCCTAGATGTACTGCTGTATGTTTGGTTTTGCTAGGCTGTTTCCAGTGCTCTTTCGAGTGCATTTCCAGACTATGTCAATGGAGACGAGAATGCAAACGTGGTGATGAGATGAGATACAGAGAACTAATAATATAAAAAGAAACTCTTCATTCATGAGATATATAGAAAATAAATAGTTAAAAGTTAAAAGCATAATCACTTCAGTTTTGAATTCCTTGAACATTAAAAGTAGAAGGTACATTATGATGATTATTTAGGCCCTTTGCTGTGAAAATGTTATTAGATTCACTTAAAATTTTCATGGCTTTACTTTTCTGATTTTTTAAAAAAGTTACATGATCTTCTATATTTATTTCACATATTTCTCATTTTATAAATACCAGAGGTGACCAGGATTGAGAACCTAAGAGACTTGTCATTTAGTAAAGTACCAGATAGGATGTGAGAAGATAAAAATCCACCAAATAATTTTTTATTTCAAAACAAGAGGAAGATTCAACGTTACCATCTTTCCCTACCCAGTTATCTTTCTCAGTTCCTGCTGTCCCATCATCTGAAATTCATTCCGTTTAAAACTAAGGATGGCAAAACATGAGCACTTCTTGGTGTGACAACATTTTAGGCTGTTAACTGTGGTTTATAACATCATCTCTTTGTATGCCAGGACCAGGCTTTGTTAGGAAATACAGAGAAGACAGCTCATAGACACACTATACTTCTGGGAGAGGGCATGCCAACCATAGAAACAGACCAGGAAAAGCAGGTTCTGGTCAGAGGACAATCCCACAGGCTTCATCCACATACCAGGGCTGGTTCCACTCACTAAAGCCACAGAATATTCCGGCACATTCTTGTGTGTTCCCCTGGCCTGCGTTTATTTTTAAACCTGCGCTCTAATAAACATCTGAGTTGCTATATAATGTTTTCCCTGGACTGTTTCACCCTGCCCTCAAACTGGTTGACCTACTTTGTCTTGTTTTGGGGATTTTACACACAAACATCCTCAGAGGATAAAACATTCACTTACCTGGCCTTTCTGTTGTATTGACTGAACTCTGATTTTCAGCTTTAAAGGAAAGAAAAGAAAAGAAAATCACTAACATGAAATGCTGAGTGTCAGATCTACTCATAATTATTTCAAGTGGTAAATGAATATAGAACTTAGCTCATCTGTGATTTGCTTTCCCTTAGATAATAAGATCATGAGGCTTCATGGTTAAAAGATACTTTAGAGCAGGAGTCAGTCAGCTTTGACTTAAAGGGCTACTTAGTAAATAGGTTAGGCTTTGTAGCCCATGTCTCTGTAGCAACGACCCCACTTTACAGCTGTAGTGTGAATGCGGCCACACATCATACCTGAAGTATAGGTGTGTCTGCGTAACAATGAAACCGTACTTAGAAAAACAGGTGAGGACTGGATTTGGCCTGCAGGCCGCAATTTGCTGAATCCTGCTTTAGAGAGTCTAGAACACCTATGACACGCGTGTCAGAGGTGACACGCAAACTCATTTTTTTGGTTGATTTTTCTTTGTTAAATGGCATTTAAATATATAAAATAAATATCAAAAATATACACCTTTGTTTTACTATGGTTGAAAATATCAAAAAATTTCTACATGTGACACAGCACCAGAGTTAAGTTAGGGCTTTTCAAAATGCTGACACGCCGAGCTCTAGAACATCACTGGTCTAGAACAATCTCACATCTTGAATACATTAAGGTAGCACAACTCGCGGTCCTTTGGCAGGTGCTTTCTGTGTGGGGCTGCCATGTGTCTGTGTCTAGTAGGATATGATTCTTGACCTGGGAAAGATTCAGGGAGGTTCAGGAAGATACCTTTGACATTTAGGGAATTCCTTTAAAGTAAATACAGTGCAGAGGAGCTCTCTACAGGTCAGATTACTTGAGGGAATAATAGAGTTCACTTCAGCAACTTTGAGTATATTCACCATAAACAATTCTTGCCATGTGAAAATATAGAAAATATTTTTGAAACAAATAGAAGCCCAATAATAAATGTTTAAAGTATCCATTTGCTTTCTTTGTACCTTTACTTGACTGATATTCTTAAATTACACTCCCCCCTCCTTGGTTCAATGCATAGTACTATTGCCCCCTCTCTCTCCCCGCCTTCCCCCCGCCCCCCATCGCACAAGACAAAAAGTAGTGGCCTTTTTTGATTCTCTTCTTTTTCTCACCACCATCAGCTCTAGCTTCAAGTTATATTTCAACTATCTCTCACCACTTAATTGGCTACTATTCATCTGGAACCCATACTTCTCCTTTTGACATCTGCAATAATGGCCACCTAGAAAAACCTTTTTAAACTTAAACTTGGCTGCTTCAATGGCTTCCTAGTCTTGCTACAGCTGGCAAGTCTTTACAGGAGTGGCCCCTGCCTTGCTCCTCATTTCATCTCCAACCAGTCAGCCCCTGTTTAGATCAAAGTCACTGGGCTCTTCCTGCCTCGGGCTTGTTGGCTTGTTCTCCTCTGTACCTCATGTTCTCTCAGGCTAACACTGGCTTCCTTCTACCTTTCACGACTCTGCTCAGATATCACCACTCAAAGAGGTCTCCTCCCACCACCTTATTGAAAGTTGCCTTCTTTTCCCTTCATACTAGTCCACCACTCTGCTTCATTTGCTCAACAGTACTTTCATTGCTACAGTAACATTTACTTTATTTAAAAAAAATTGTTGTCAGAATGTAAACTCCATGAGGACGGAGATTTCTATTTTTTAATTAAAGTCTACTTGATATGTAATATTATAATTTTCAGTGTGCAACAGTGATTTGGCATTTATATATATTACTATGTGATCACCATGATATGTCTAGTAACTATATGTCACCATACAGTCATTACAACATTATTGACTATATTCCTTACGCTGTGCATTGTATCCCATGATTTATTTGTTTTATAACTGAGAGTTTATAGCCCTTCACCTTTTTCACCCACTCCCCCACTTACCCTCCTCCAGGAACCATCACTTTGTTTTCTGTTTCTGTTTTGTTTTTTCATTAGATTCCCCATATAAGTTAAATCATAGTGAATGTGTCTTTCTCTGCCCTACTTATTTTACTTAGCATAATACCCTTTAGGTCCATCCAAGATTACGTTTTTCAATCAAGCCACAATTCCAGTGCCCACCACCAGGACATGGCAAAATAGATCTCCAGTAAAAAAACACACACACATATGGAATGAACAAGTGAGGAAATAATAATAATTAATAATAATAATAATAATGTTACTATTATTATTAACAGTTAAGGCTAATTATACTTACCTAAATTCAGTTTTAATGGAAAATTAATGCTTTATTTAAAATGGCTAGTTGGATAATCATAGCTACCATTTTTAAAGCAACTCTTATGATCAGTGCCATATATTATTTGTTGATGTCTACAAGAGAGATACTCATTTGGAAACCTGAAAACATCTTCTGAGAGAAGTAAAACTACTTTCTTAAGGGGGTACAATGGTTAAAAGCCAGGCCTGTTGGTTCTAGTGTCCATCTCCTTTTACTAAAACAGACAGCTTTTCTTCCACTAAACTACTCTGAAAGGAAAGCTTATGTAATTAAGTCCAACATTTGAAAACTAGTTAAAATACTTTTGAACATGGCATAATGCTGTTTGTGGAAGATGCAGATAAAATATTTATCAGCTGCTAGAGGGTTAGAATACAAAGACAATCAAAAACCCTTTGTTTCTCTGGCTATTAATATCAGGTCATAACCTTTCTTGCTGATAGACTGCATTAAGAATGAAAAATGTTTAAATTTGTATGAGAGAAAACCTTCTGACTAACCTTCAGTTGTGTATTTTTTTTTCAGCCTTCAAGAATGTATAATAATTTTAGAACTTGTTAAAACTTATATAAAATAAAAGTAACTATGTTTTAAGGTGTAGCAGAATTTAAAAAATACATCTACCAATTCAATCTTTGGATATATATTGAGTTCTAAGATGACCATATTTTTATATATGAATGAATATATTGTTATTCTGAGGACACAATTCTGCAAAACTTAAATATTTAATCAATATTGAAATAGTACTATTTTTCTGAAAGCAAGTAGAATTATTCTGAAGAAATACTGTGTTTTCATAGGCATACCACTTTCAAATTTGAAGTCAGTTCTATGATTATAAAAGCATAATAGAGGTGAATACTGTGAACATGGCTAAGTTATAGGGATTCACCAAAAGTGAAGATAACTATAATTATTCCTGTCTTTTATTTATACTTTTCAGAATACACATGTGTGTTGAGAAAGGGCCAAGATCTGATCTACAGAGGAAGTGAGTCAAGTTGAATAGCGAATGAGTGCAGTGCACCCTTTTGACCTATTCTCAAATTCAGGTGTTTAATAAAGATGAGCAGCTTAGGATGGTTGGCAAATTCAATCTGTTTGTTGAGTTTGATTTTCTAATATGATACTGAAGTCTTAAGAAATGCAAATGGACTTCTAAACTGCTAAACTTTAATCCTCATTAATACAAAGCTAAACTTTAACTCAAATAATTAGCTTTTAAAACAGAAAGCTTAAACAACAATACAACAAATAACTTTGCTGAATAGTCTTCTCTTACAAAGGATATTGTGTTTCCAGCTATACAGAGCTGTATATAGTTATACACAGAACATCATTAACAGGTCCAGGAGAAAAAATAAATAGTTATTCCCAAATATAATTCTTTACTGATAAAGAATTTAAAATAATTTGCTTAAAATAATTTGCTATAAACCATTCAAGTTTTCTTTATCATTCTCAAATACATGGCATGGATCAGGTCATTGTATGTGAGATTATTTCTCGTTTGGCTGAACCATGACTTGTAACTAAGATTTTGTTATCTTGAGGATTCCTTTTGCATGTGTCTACAAGAAATTATATAAACTAAGTAGCATATAAAAAACATTATGATACACTTCCCAAATAAGTGGCATAAATAAATCAAGTTGTTCACAAAAGAAATAATGGGTCTGGGAGATCAGATAAATTAATGTTTTCCAAAGGATGAGATGCATAGCACTGTATGAGAGATTTTATAAGCTGTACTGGAAAGTGGCATTAAATAACATTGAAACACTCAATGATAAAGTTATTCCACTTTTGCTTTCAGTTTATTTGATGATTTCAATGAGGAAGTTTTAAAATTTGTTTCATGCAAATATGTCATTTATACCTATCATGGGTTTACCTTGATTTTTTTGTTCTTTTTTTAGGAGAAAGTGAGCACACAATCCCCCACGACCACAAATGATACAGTTGATTTTCCCACATCTGGGGAAATGATAGGGGTCAGCACATCTGGAGTTCAGTGGATAAGCCTGGCCTTGGGAAACCACCTTCACAATCATGGGATCTCCCCTCCCAGGTAAGTATTTGATTTATTTTTTGTAACCAAGGACAAGCAAGCCTCAAACTCAGAGCCTTTGGCAAGCTGCAAAATCTAGCTAGAATTTAATTTTATTTTGCTTACATTATAGTGATTTGATAGCTCCTGCCTGTGCCAGTGAAACTGGTTTTGCATTTAAGATAACGGTTTCTTTTTCAAACAAATTTAAGAAAAGTTGCATCAATTTAAAGAAAGTACTAAATAAATAAATAATAGCGCAGATGGTGCACATATCTGGCAACTCTCATTAAGCGGTGGAAAATATTGAGGTAAAACCTTGTAGAGACCCTGGATGAATGTATAGAATTTGAATTAGAAGTTGGGAGCTGTATATAGTTATACTCAGAACAAGGGGAAGAACAAATATGGACCATACAAATGTGAGGGGAAGGAAACACACACACACACACACACACACACACAGTCAAGAATAAGTCAAGACTAAGTCTGGCATAGTGGGCAACAGGGAGAGCAGTAACCTTGTTAGAATCATACATAGGTTTATGGTCTGTCAGCCAGCAGCCACTCAGTCAACCTCTGGTGTTACAGTTATTGAATACCTACTTGTCAAGCATATGATACATCCAATTAAAAGCTAGTTGTTTTCTACTTCCTTTAGATACTTTATGTAAAATAGCTGCAATGAGAACAAGGGTAGTATAGTAAAGTTTATGGGGTTTGAGGCAAGAAAAAGAGGGTTTGAATTTCATCTTCTTAATTTAAACTTGGCCAAGTTATTTAATCTTCTGAACCTGCTTCTTTATTTGTGAAACTGGTGTCATCAATACCAACAATGCTGGGCTTTTGTTAATAATTAATAGGAGCTATAATTTATTGTGTTTACCTGCCATACACTATTTTTATCTCTTTTGTTCTTCACAAGAATCTGAGATGGGCATAACATCATTATAAAATATTTTATGGATGAGAAAACTGAGACACAGAGAAGTTAAATAAACAAATGGTTGTGCTATTATTTGACTCTAAGAAATCTTACTTCAGAATCATTATTTATAACCAATAAGCTAAGTTCCTCTTGACATGATTAGAATATACAATTTTTATTTTGAAAAGGGTATGTTGTCTTAAAAATTGCAGGATTGTGTAATTTTTTTAGACAACAGGCTATTCTCATGTTCATCCAGGAATATATCTAAAATGTCTACAATTATCTATGCTTTTTGTGTAGAAATCAACTCCATATTCAAATAAAAATTATGCAAAAGGAAACATATGAGGAACTACTTACTATATACAATGCAATTAACTCCTACTTAATAACCTACTGATTACTTATACGTGTTATTCATTTCTACTTAGCAACAGCCAGATTTTCCCCTTCAGATTTCAAGTCTGTAATAGTGTATATACTGTGATAGCAGAAGCTTTGGCTTGGAAAAATCCTTACAAGAATTTCTCTCTAAACACTTGCCTTAATATAGTCATGTATTGGCATTTTGTCCATCTTAATTTGCCTTCTATCTAAAATCTTATTCCACGTTTTTTCCTTGGCCAGTCTGAATTTACCAAAGGGAGATTCTCTTTGGAGAATAGTCTCTTCTTCCCTGTCAATCTCTTACAGTGTGCACCGTGCCTGCTTTCAAATCTGATTATTGAAACCTGAATGACTCATTTTCCAGCGAGTAAAGCATTTATTTTGCTTCCTTCCTTCCATCTTCCTTTCTCTTTTCTGTTCTTTCCTCAGAAATCATCAGTATGTGCACAAGAAAGGAAAAAAGAAGAGTCAGAGAGGATGCCATATGTTCAAGCCATTAGAAGAAATAAGGAACTCAGGAAGAGAAGATTTGTAGTTTCATGACAGAGTTTCACACCCAATCCTTCCACAGTTTAGATATCAGAAGGTGGGGACCCCTATGATTGACATTTCCATTGAATTAACCCTCAATGCTCAGCAAAGTAGCCCTGTATATAGACAATGACAAATGTATTGAAATCTACGTGCAGTAAGGATAAATTCAGGATCTGGTCTGGAGTGGGTTAAACAGTGACAACCCTTCCCTCCCTGGAAAGATATGTGCATCTGAAACTTGTAAATGTGACCTTATTAGAAAAAAAGAGTCTTTGCAGTAGTGATCTTTCTAGATTAGGTTGGGCCCTAAATCCAATGACACATCCTATATAATAAAAGCCTGATATGCTAAGTGTCAGACCGTTCGTTCGACTATTCAACCAGTCGCAATGATGCATACTGACCACTAGGGGGCAGACGCTTGACCGGTAGGTTAGCTTGCTGCTGTGGTCTGGGCTGGACACGCCCTGGAGCCCTCCCAAGGTCCCTCCCATGCCGGCTCCTATCAGCCCTGATCAGGATTGGGCAAGATGGCCCAAATCAGCCCCGATCAGGACTGGGTGAGATGGGCCAGACACGCCCTGGACGAATCCATGCACAGGGCTGGTTTCGGCCCGATCCCCACAGGCCAGGCTGAGGGACCCCACTGGTGTACAAATCTGTGCACCGGGCCTCTACTGTCTTTATAAGAAAAGACAAAGACAGAGGAGAAGTCCGTGTGAAGACAGAGGCAGAGATTAAAGCCATGTATTTACAAACTAAGGAATACAGAGGATTGCTGGCCACCCCCAGAAGCTACAAGGCATGGCACACAGATGCCCTCCAAAGGATCTTTAGGGAATAAATAAATTAATTAATTCAAAGGGCCACCACATCATTATAATGTCAGAGCACTGAATTAATGAGGATTTATATATCAAAAATTCTAGGATTCTAGGAATGTATATTCTATAGGCAGAATAAAAGAGTAAAATAAGAGAAATACACACAACTTTTTGTTAATTTATTTTGTTCATTAGATTCCACATATAAGTGAAATACTATAGTATGGTATTTGTTTTTCTCTGACTTTTAACAGTTCTTGTAATACTGGTTTGGTGGTAATTCACTCCTTTAGCTTTTTTTTAGCTTTTTCTTGTCTGGGTTTCTCAACAGAAACATTTCAGTCAAAAGAGATTGGCATGAGATATTCAAAGTGATGAAAAGCAAGGAGGGAGGGAGAGAGAGAGAGAGAGAGAGAGAGAGAGAGAGAGAGAGCTTTAAAAGAATGAGAAAAATTAGAATTGTTTTCAGGACAAACTTCATTTTGACCTACATTCTGTCTTTCTGGGGAGTAAAGCAGCAAACCTCACTAACTCTTCTTTACTCCAAATCAAACCTGCACCTGAGATAAGGTACCCACAGTGCCTTTATTTGATAGTCACTATTCAAGGACTCATTGCCCATATGTTTAAGAGGAAAATTAGTTTTCATCTGTTCAAATCTCCCCACCAATAGACTGTTTTGTTCTCTCTCTGCCTCTCTGTGCTGGCTCCACTATTTCTGAACGTTTGTGTATGTGAGGGGTGGAAATGGAAAGGGTGCTAACTAGGAATCTGGGCAAGCTCCTGGTGTCATAATGCACAAATGGAAGTGTGTATAAACTCACTATTATCCAGTGGAGTCCATGCTAAGTAGGAAGCACCTTTAGGAATGTGAACAATCTGGGGAGGAATGATTTTTTATAACAAAATTTCCAAAGGACTTAGTACAGAACTGGTTACTCAAATGACAAATGCAAAGGGCAGCAGTAAATACCCTTATTTCATTATCTTGCTTTCCATGGTGTTTCATTTTTCAAGAAATGGCTTTGTGGGTGTATTTTTTTAGACTACTTGGTCACTTCTAACTGTGTTTAGAAGCCAAATGAATACAGTAGTCCCTAGAACTGAGATGCAGAGGGCATTGTACTGCATGAATCAAAGTAAATTTAGCAGTTTTAAGTGACTCATGGGGTTGGCCACTCACTTCTGTATAAGTGCTAATTTGAATAAACTATGGACCTGAATGACAGTGTCCTCATCAGTCACTGAATGTATTAGTGCAACATGAGAAGTAATTGAGTGTAATCCTCAAATGTTACACATTTTGCAGCAGATGCATGTTAATTTTTATTTTTGTATTTGGGGCAATCATATTATGAGATGAGGTTTATGAGGTTTTGGTTTGGTAAAGGCACTTTTCATACATATATTGCCTACAAGATAGGTTCTACTTATAAGAAGCCAAATATTAACCTAAAAAAATGTTCTTCATGTGAAGTAGAAATGACCCTGCTCTTCAAATCCTTCTTTGTGGTTACTGTCTCATGAAATAAAATTATTAGTTCACAATTATTGTGTGAAATTAGCGTCTTAATAGATAACCTTCTTTCTGTTGTGCTTAAGATGATTATAATAAAAAGGGGGAAGGGGAAACCAGATGTTCCTGATGTGTTTCAAGACAAGAGTGGGCCTTGGATATGCACAGTTTCCACTTGCCATCTCCTTCCACCTAAGACAGTTGTTGGCAAACCACGGCTCGAGAGCCACATGCGGCTCTTTGGCCCCTTGAGTGTGGCTCTTCCACAAAATACCACGTGCCGGCACACACGTACAGTGTGATTGAAAATTTGTGGCCCATGTGCAGAAGTCGGTTTTCAGCCTGGGCGAGTGTATTTTGAAGAAGTGGCATTAGAAGAAGTGGGGGTGTTGGTCCACGCGGTGCAGGCAGGCCACGGGATACAGCATGGGGGAGGCGCGCACCATTCATGCAGGAGTTGAGTGAGCCAATCAGTCAGCAGCAGTGGTTAGTGCTAGTCGAGTCCGCAAATCACGCAGGTGACAAAAGTAAATACTCAAAGCATAAAGTTACCTGTATTTTTCCAACCAGCTGCAAATCCTACAGGTATTTTTGTCATCAATTTAAGAATTGAAATTCTTTTGTGTTGGTGGCTTTATTATTATAAAACTAGAGGCCCGGTGCACAAAAATTTGTGCACTCGGGAGGCGGTCCCTCAGCTCGGCCTGTACCCTCTCGCAGTCCGGGACCCTCAGGGGATGACTACCTGATGGCTTAGGCCTGCTCCCAGGGGCATTGGGCCTAAGCTGGCAATCAGACATCCCTCTGGCAGCCCAGCTGCCCTCAGGGGATGTCCACTTGCCAGCGGGGAGCAGGCCTAAGCTGCAGTCGGACATCCTTCACGCTGCTGAGGAGGCAGGAGAGGCTCCCACCACCACTGCTGTACTGGCAGCCGTTAGCCTGGCTTGTGGCTGAGCAGAGCTCCCCCATGTGGGAGCGCACTGACCACCAGAGGGCAGCTCCTGCATTGAGCGTCTGCCCCCTGGTGGTCAGTGTGTGTCATAGTGACCAGTCATTCCCAGTCTTTCTGCTGTTAGGGTCAGTTTGCATATTACCCTTTTACTAAATAGGATAGACGCCTGGTGCAGGGGTGGGGGCCGGGTGGTTTGCCCTGAAGGCTGTCCGGATCAGGGTGGGGGTCCCGCTGGGGTGCCTGGCCAGCCTGGGTGAGGGGCTGATGGCTGTTTGCAGCTGGTCACACCCCCTTCAGGGTGAGGGTCCCTACTGGGGTGCCTGGCCAGCCTGGATGAGGGGCTGATGGCTGTTTTCAGGCTGGCCACACCCGTTTTAGGGTGGGGGTCCTCACTGGGGTGCCTGGCCAGTCTGGGTGAGGGACTGAGGGCCATTTTCAGGCTGGCTGGCGACTGAAGCTCCCAGCCTCTTTTTTTTTTCTTTTCTTTTTTATTCTGGGATTTATTTACCTTCTATAATTGAAACTTTGTTGCCGTCACTGGAGCTGACAGCCGGGCTCCTGCTCGCTCCAGCTCTGAGGCCACGGCCTGCTGAAAGCAGGTATCTGAAGTTTGTTTAGCTTCTATAATTGAAACTATAATTAGAATCCTCCATCACTGGAGCAAGCAAGCCTCCTGCTCGCTTCAGCTGCGTGGCTGCTGGCCGCCATCTTTGTTGGCAGTTAATTTGCATATCTCGCTGGTTAGCCAATGGGAGGTGTAACGAAGGTATGGTCAATTGCCATGTTTGTCTATTATTAGATAGGATGAAACATTTTTTTAGGTGCCCTGTTTGAGATGGCTACAAAGAAGAAGCAAAGAAAAACGGAAGATGAAAACCGTGAATTTAAAGTTGAATTTAAAGTTGAATGTACCTACCTATATAGCTCAAGTTTAAAAAATTTGGCTCTCAAAAGAAATGTCAATCGTTATACTGTTGATATCTGGCTCTGTTGACTAATGAGTTTGCCGACCACTGACCTAAGACATCTCCCAAGAAAAGACTTAGAAACTGCTTCTTGTTAAAGACTATGGACATGTACAAATATATATACATTATTTAAAATGAATGGCATCTGGTAATGCTGTTAGGGCAGATTACTAGCTTTTCTAGTCAGGATATTTTCAATAAAAGTACCGATTCCTTCATATCATGGAGGACAGGGTATGAGAAGTGCTCGTTATGAAGATATTTGTAGACTAGAACTGGAAATCTGTCAGAAATCAGGGGAGTGCTAGGTCCTGCTACTCTCTCTGTCTGTCATGAACAACTTAATCTTGCTCATGAGGTTTCTCCATCTCCCCATGTACTATCTCCATTCTGCTCTATCAACCCTACTTATTCATAATATTTTTTATTATATCATAGGGATGCCTAGAAATCACCATGGCTGCCTCCACTCACTCTACTAAAACCTTGCTGCTTTAGTTCCCACAGATAATCACATTTTTGTTTGTTCATTTCTTTGGGTTTTCTAGTTCACATGACACAGAAAGGAATTTTGATTGGACTAAGTCAACATTTTCTTCTCTTTAGCTTTTAAACAAAGCTTTATAAAGAAATTTAAAACTAAATTAACTAATTTTAAGCATGCAACTCAATACTTTTTAGTAAATTTATAAAGTTGTGCAACTATCACTATAATCTAGTTTTAGAACATTTTCGTTAACACAAGAACCTCACTTGAGACTTTTTAGCAGTCAATCCCCAGTCCCACCTTCAGCTTTAGGCAACCACTTGTCTGCTCTTCTCCCCTATAAAAACATTCATTCTGGATATTTTATATAAATGGAACTACACGATATATAATGCTTTTGGAAAGGGTTCTATCACTGAGTCTAATGTTTTTGAGGTTCATTGTGTTATAACATGTATTAGTATTTTGCTTTTCTAAATTGCTGAATATTATTCCCATTATATGGATATCCCATGTTTTAGAATATTCCAAATCCACTCCAAATGGAAAATCCAATAGAATAGTCCATTTAATCAGTCAATGGATATTTGGATTATTTCCATTGTGACTATTATGAATAATGCTACTATTAATATTCATTACCTCAATAACATTCCATCTTGATTACTATAGCTTTAGAGTAAGTTTTGTAATTGGCTTGTATAAGACTTCCAACTTCGTGGTTTTTTTTTTTGGAAAAGTATTTTGTTTATTCTAGGTCTTTTTCATTTCTATATATATTTTAGAATCAGCATATCAATTTATAAAAAAGCATACAACAAAACAAAAACAAACCCCTGCCCCTATATTTGCAGTGATTTTCACAGAGATTTTATTGAATATGTTAATTATAAAATTGGGGAGAACTGCTATCTTAAAATATTGAGTCTTCTAATGTATGATTATGTAACGTCTCTCTATTTAATTAGATCACAGAAATGTTTTATAGTTCAGTGTACAAATCTTTCACTTATATTGTTAAATTTATTCCTATATATCTTCATTGTTTCTCATGCAATTGTAAATGACCTTATTTCCTTAATTTTATTTTTGAGTCATCATTGCTAATATATATCTTATATCCTGTGATATAAAATATTTTTTACTAATTTGTGTAATTTTTGTGGACCCTATGGATTTTCTACATAGATAATGATGTAGTTTGCTAAAAAAACTGTTTTGTTTTCTTATTTCAAATCTGGATGAATGGATCTATCTGTCTGTCTATCTATCTATCTATCTATCTATCTACTACCTTATTGTACTATCTAGAATCTTTGGTTATAATTTTGAACAGAAGTGAAGAGAATAGACATCTTTGTTATGTCCCAGATCTTAAGAGAAAGACATTGTTTTTCACTATTACGTATATTGTTTGCTGTATGTTTTTCATTTATGTCCTTTATCATTTTGAAAAAGTATCATTTAATTATTAGTGTGTGTAATTTTGTCAAATATTTTTCTGTATCTAATTTTAATATGCTAAACCAATCTTGCATTCCTGGATAAATCCTACTTGTTGATAAATCCTACTTGTTCATATTTTTATCTTTTTTATATGTTATTAAATTTGGTTTGTTAATATTTTAGTAGGATATTTGTATCTATATTTATGAGGGATTTGGTCTGTAGTTTACTTGGCTTGCTTTTTCTTTTATTCTTTTCTAGCTTTGGTATTAGGATAACACTCGCCTCAGATAATTACTTATGTGCTGTTCCCTCTTCTACTTCTTGAAAGAAATTGAAAGTACAGAATTAGCAAGTGAAGCCTCCCTGTATTGAGCTTTCTTCATGGAACCATTTTAAATTTCTAATGCAATATTTATCATTGTTTTAGGTCATTTCAGACTTCCTATCTAGTCAGTTTCAGAAATTTGTTTTCTAAGAATTTTCCTATTTTATCAAACTGTCTAATTTGTTGGCCAGGCTCACATTTTTGTGCCAGATGATATCACAGGTGACTGCCCACCACTGAATTGATCTTCGTTGGCATCCGACCATTTGTGGCTATGGGGAGCTAGAGTGTCACTATACAAAGCAAAGTTGCCAAATGATTCTCTTATTTGGTAGAGACTATGAGGAAATATGGGTGGAGCATGGTTCTTTGGTAGCAGAGGTCTAGAAAACATTCCAAATCTAACTCTGTTTAACACACTAGGTTAACATTTCAGCACACATGCTTATACTTACTCTTGTTTTGGGAACTTTGTAATGTTGAAACATCATTTGGAAGTGGAAGATCTGTCACTGTTGCACTTTTGGTGGTCAACTCTTTCTTTGTCACACTGTTGGTTGTGGCTTCTAATCATGTAAAAAGAATCAACAGCCATCAGAGGTATAACCAATCACCAGATAGTATCTTTAATATTCATATTAACACCCAGTTACAACCCAAAGATTAGTTACTAAATCTGATCGAGATTCAGAAATTCAGCATTTAATTACATTAAAGAAACTAAGAGGCACTTTAGACTCTCCTATATGTTTCCAATTGGTTGTCTCATTTAATTATAACAGTAATCCTATGATTTAATAATTATGATAATAATTTTATATATAAGACTCAGAAAAGTTAAATAATTTTCCCACAGTCACATAAGTCAGGGCAGGAGAGAGCCAGCATCTGAATCCAAGTTTTCCTGATGCAAAGGTTAATCACTCAGCTACCCACTTCCAGTAAGGAAGTGGTAATAGTTGAAGATGCTCCCATGGTTCCCATGCTGTCTGGGAAACAATTTTCAGGTAGGTGAAGTAGCCAAGAGGAGAGGGATAACAGGAAATAAAATAGAACAAAATTTTAATTATACTTTATTTTTTAACAAGAAAATTAATAGCAAAGATAAGCCGAGTTTCCAAAAATGATATTGAAATAAATTTACTTGAAACAACCTATATTTGCATAAATATTATAAAAACAAAATGATTGATGCCCTTCAGTCTTTTCAGAGTCTAGTATGGGAACATTGGGTTAGTAAAGAAAAGGCTGGCAAGCTGGTTAGTGCATACTTAATGTTAGCTAGATAGGATGTTGGCCAGAGATGGGGAGAAAGCAATATAATAGATTTCTATAACAAAGTGGGCTGAAACCTAGAATTGCTGGTACCTTCCAGAAGTGTCAGTCAGTTTCCATTCTATAGCAAGAGGTGTCTATCATGTAATGCCAATTCTTAATGCAGTTGAGAGATTTATGCTAGAGAAATTAATAGTTTTCAAGATGATCTCATAGACAGTGGGTAAATATGTCTTCAGACAAAAATCATTCAGGAATTGGCATGCAAACAAATTGAAATAAATTTAAACATAAGCTGCAGCATTCACAGTGCATGTGAGAAAGAATAAGTGGAAATGGGCCTAAACTTCAGAAGCATCTGAAATATTTGAGGGAGTAAAGAAAGGTCTTATTGTAGCAAGAAGGCAGAAACTGATGTCTGTGACAGCATGGAAGTGGGAAGGTCACCCAAGGTGCAGAAACTCAATACTTGAGGTTGGAGGTACATGTGGGGGTAAAATTTGGCTTCTCACTACAATTCCAAAAAAACAAAATGCTCGCAAAATATCAGAACAGGAGATTCTCTTCAGCAATCTTTGGAGAAGAATTCTTCTGTTGAGGTAAAAATTAGAAAACATGAAAAGCTATCCTGAGGGCCTAATGAATTTCATAGTATAAAGCAGACTCAACAATCTTGGTGACGGAAAGAGAATATACAGATAAGAAAGATGTGGGGAGTGGCCAGATTAGAAAAATACAAACAAAAGAGTAGAGTAATGGAATAGCTGCAATGCAACACCTTCGATTTTGCTTAGAGAGCTACTTTATTAACGTGGAATATATTTCACAAATGAGAGTAGAACTAGAGTTTACACTCAATTCAGTGCAGGTTGTCAGTTGCTCCAAGTAGGCAATGGAAGGGATCTTGAATGATTTGAAGGCAATAGGAATATTTTTAAATATCCATGGTGGACTTAAAATGAATAGAATAAAAGATACATGACTGATGCTGCCAGAGTTGTAAATTCTCAAATTTTACTAGAAAAAAAAAACTGAATGACTGAAATTTATTAATATATGAGAATGATTGTCTTATATTAATATTTTGTTGGAAAAAATTGTCCTAATTGCATTTTGGGTTCACATATAGTAGATTCTGAACTCCTGCCCAAAAGTGACTGCCTCCTCAGATTAAAAAGAAAACCAATCTTAAAGCTGTTCTCTAAACTTATATGGTTTGCTCTTTTTCAGTTTCTTTTTCAGTTTTCTGTCTGGCCATTTCCCCTCAAGTACCCCTATATACCTGCATTGATCTACAGGTTCAAATAGCATTATAAGTCTAGGTAGTAATATATGTATTAGGTTTGATGAACCTTATTTTAGTTGAGAAATATTAATTTATATTGCAATATTGAGAAAATATTGGCCTTAATTTTAGGGTCTGTGTTTTTTAAATTCATGATTTTTTAATTCTTAGAGCTTTGTTTTAGGTGAAATGCATGAAAGATAAAATATAAGTAATTTTTAATCCATATTTGAATTGGAATAAGGAAAATTTACAACAGGGGATACTTTGAGAGATACACACCAATACTAGGGTGTAAATGCAGAGAAAAGACCTTGAATCCAACCATATCCTTAAGTGGCTTGACTGAGCAGAGAAATAGAGGCTGTTTTATATTGTCTTGAAAATATTAATATGGAATTCATCTTGTATATTTTGGGAGATTAAATTTTGGGGAGTAAGCAATAAGTGTAAACATTAATTATATTAGAAATTTAAGGTGTGATAATACTAGTATGTATGTTATTTGGTTATATTTTCTCTTATCTAGTGGTCCTATTTACCTGCAAAGTTTTACATGACAGTGATTAATTAGCAATGATGCTTATGGGGACTTTAAAAGCTTCTGGAACATTTGAGTTGCCCTTTTGAAAACTGTGGTTTACAATTACACAACGGTATATGCTCAGGTCAGGTGGTGGGTGAAAAGGGTTGCTTTGCTTGTTTCCTGCTCATATAGTATACATTATAAAAACTATAAATAGAATTTAAATAAACATAATATCTTATTTCAGTAATTTTTAACTGTACTGCTGTAGACCTAAGGGTTCAGTGGGGAAGCCTCATGGACCCCCTATCTTTAGTGATAAGAGAGAGGAATGGGTAGAGGTCCACGCTGCCCATATACATACACCACACACAACATTGTTTCAAATTGAGAAACTCAACTTCCACTGTTTGATATATTGGCATTTTTTATGTACCAATAAGACTTTCTGTAAATATGTTTCTGCCAGTTAAAAAAAAAGTTAGACAACAGTAGCCTTATTCAATAGTGAGACTCCAAAATGGTAACCTTGCCTATCCACACTGAAAGCAAGATGAAGAACATCAGAGTAGACAGAAACAACAAGATCTATTGTTGCTGTGAAGTTTATCTGCACATAATGTTCTTACACTATCCTCAAGGACATGACTTTTCACCTGGACTTATGTAGTCTTTTGTAAACACAACTCAAGTTGTTCTTGGTGTTATGTGTGTTCAGTTGCTCTCAGTTAAAGGAGTAATTAAAAGAAATAACCACTCACAGCAGGCTGGCAATCTCACCAGTGGGATAGCTTGAAAGTAGGGAAAAAAACAAGAACATGTACCAAAAACAGAAAAAACACCCATATCCACACATAAAACAATTACAAAATTTGGTGACCACATTATGGAGGGAGAAAAAAAATGCTCTGTGAGCCTTATTAATACCTGAAGGTGTCACTACTTAATAGCCAAGTGATGAATTGAAGTTAAAATACTATAAATTCATTAAGAAAGAGTTGATAATGAATTTGTTAAATAGAAAAATTTGAAGTTAAAAGAGCAATTTTGAAATTCAAAATTATTATTATAAAATTTGTGTTTTTTAAAAAATTAAGTCATTTAGCCTTTCTGAAACTCAGTTATCTTTAAATAATAATATTTTAAGTGAAATTGTTAAAACAATCTAAAAATGATAATACATTTCTCAAGATGAGAAACAAATGCACTATTTAAAAATAGTACCTTAAAAAAGTGCAAAGCACTTGCGAGTCAATGCTTACTATGTTCTGCTTTATGAGACAATACTAATAGATATCCATACTATTCTTTAGAATAATCTCTATACTATTTATTTTTAAAATTTAATTTTAAAATTAGATGCTTGAAGGGGGAAACCTCTGATAGGTAGTAAATACACAGAATAAAAATAATTTTTAAAACATAGTGGGGGATGAATTAATAAATATGTAGATATGAAACAATATAATCCTAAATAACCAATGTGTCAAGGATTAAATTACAAGGGATTTTAGAATATACTTTGAGATGAATGAACATGAAAACATAATATATGAAAGTTAATGGGATGTAGCAAAAATCTGAGAAGGAAATATATTGGTATAAACACCTATATTTAAAAAGAAATATGATCTTAAATCAATAACCTAACCTAACCTGTGAAATTAAGAATTTAGAAACAGACATGCAAACTAAACTAAAAAAACACGTACTAAAGATTAGAGAGGAAAGAACTAGAAAAATCAATAAAATAAAAAGTTGGTTTTTTTAAAAATCAACAAAATTGATAAACCTGGTTAGCCTGACCAAAAAGAGGACTCACATTACTAAAATAATGAATGAAATAGAGGACATTACTACCATATTAATAGAAATAAGAAGGGTTATAAGGCAATGCTATGAACCATTGTGTGCCAACAAATTAGATAACCTAGAGGAAATGGACAACTTCTTAGTAAATCACCAATTAGCAATCTGAGTCAAGAAAAAATCTGAATAGACTTATAACAACCTCTATAAATAGGCTAAGATACTAATTCAAAATTTTCCACAAAGAAAAGCCTGGGCCAGACAGCTTTATGGTAAGTTCTGACATATGTTTAAAGAATAATTCTTTATAAACTCTTCCAAAAATTGGTAGAGAAGGGAATACTTCCTAATTCATTTACTGAGGTTAGAACTAACTTCATCCCAAAAACATCACAAGAAAACTATTAACCTGTATCTTATAAGTGTAGACATAAAAATTCTTTGCAAAGTAATACAAATCATATCTAGCAACATACAAAAAGCATAATATGTAATAACCAAGTGGGATTTAACCAGAAATGTAAGGTTGTTGAGCATACAGAAATCAATGTCATATGACATCTTAGTAAAATGAGAGATAAAAACCATATAATAATCTCAATATAGTAAGAAAATGCACATGATAAAATGCAACACCCTTGCATGATAAAAACACTCAACACCTGTACTAATAAAAGGATAATATGCTAATTAGACTGAGAGACCTTCCGGATGCCCTTCCAGACAAAGCCATGCTGGTGGGGCCGAGGCAGAGGGGGTTAGGGGTGATCAGGTCAGAAGGGGAGGGAAGTTGGGGGTGATCAGGCTGGTGGGGGGCACTTGGGGGTGAACAGGCTGGCAGTGAGGGACAGTTGGGGGCAAGCAGGCCAGCAGGGGGGGACAGTTGGGGGTGAGAAGGCCGGCCTGGGAGGACAGTTAGGGGCCATGAGGCCAGCTGGGGAGGAAAATTGGGGGCCATGAGGCTGGCCGTGAAGGGCAGTTGGGGGCCATGAGGCCGGCAGGGGAGGACAGTTGGGGGTCATGAGGTCAGCAGGGGAGGGCAGTTGGGGAGAACAGGTCAGCAGTGGGGGGCAGTTGGGGATGAGCAGGCCGGCAGTGGGGGGGAAGTTGGTGAGCAGGCTGATGGGGGGGGCAGTTGGGGTGAGCAGGCCAGTGGGGGAGGCAGTTGGGGGCGAGCAGGCTGGCAGGCAGAGTGGTTAGGGGTGATCATGCAGGCAGGTAGGTGAGCGGTTAGGAGCCAGAGGTCCCGGATTGCGAGAGGGATGTCCGACTGCCGGTGGGATCAGGCCTAAACCGGCAGTCGGACATCCCCTGAGGGATCCTAGATTAGAGAGGGTGCAGGTTGGGCTGAGGGACCCCCCCCCCCCTCCCCGTGCACGAATTTCATGCACCGGGCCACTAGTATATAATAAAAGGCTGATATGCAAATAAACTGAATGGCGGAACAACCAGTTACTATGACGTGCACTGACCACCAGGGGGCAGATACTCAATGCAGGAGCTGCCCCCTGGTGATCAGTGCACTCCCACAGGGGGAGCGCCACTCAGCCAGAAGCCGGGCTCACTGCTGGCGAGCACAGCAGCAGTGGCTGGAGCCTCTCCTGCCTCCACGGCAGCGCTAAGGATGTCTGACTGACGGCTTAAGCCTTAAGCCGTCAGTCAGACATCCCCCGAGTGCACAACATGCATCAGGCCTCTAGTAGTAAAATATTTCTGATTTTTTTTATCAGAAATGAATTTGAAATCTTAAAAGTATAGTAAATTTGATAAAAGGAAGAACCTTTTTTATGTTGGCCAAACGTTTCTCATTCACGTTTTCCTCATTTTTGAAATTTCAAACAAGCCGGCCAAATATGCCCGGTTCCAAAGAAGCTGTT